CTTCAATATATTACCCTTTCAGTACCTAAATATAGCATAACAACAAACATCGAATCTTGGTACATGTATCCAAGTTTCTTAGTCAATTATCGTTTCAAGTATATCCCGAAGAAACGCCAAAAACAGCGAGGGACTCCTACATTGTACGAATGGATTAAAACCAGACAAAAGCGCCCAGTTTCCAACTTTTTAGCATCATATACATAATCAAAAATATGATAAGACCCAAGCAAAGAGCAACTTGGAACAAATGGGCACCAAATGGGCACCAAATTTAAAGAAGAGACAATATGCATCGATTCTGGGATTGCTGCCTGAGGCTGAGATAAGGAACATACTGAGTCAGCATATCAGTCACCTGATCTTGTGTCAAAGTTTATGATCTGCGCTAGTCTAGGATAGGAATAGCGTCTATCGGGAAAAAAACATCTGAACCTGTTCTGGCCTCTTCTCTTCGATCATTCCGTGTTTCCAACTTTCGCGCATCTTATTGCATTTAATCAGGTAGAATGCCTCTGCCAATCCGCTCTTCGATATGTCTTCTATGTCAAACTAAGGCGACCCTGATCGCCCCATCGATTCTCCCGACCTCATGGCAGACCACACGAGGCATGGCCACCGTTCGATCGCGCCGCAAGGCTGCTCGGATGGCCCTGTCGTCTACTGTTGACAGACCATCTCTGCCATCTCCTAACAAGCCACGACGGGAACGGGCTGGCCCCTTTGCCTCGATGAACCAAACTCAGGCACGGATTCGAGACACACCACGCACACGATCACAGGCGGCCCTCAAGCGTTCAGGGGAGGAGGGCAAGGCGGAGAAGAAGGAAAGCCCATTGTACAGAGCATTGAAGATGCAGACAACATTGACACCTGTGCCTTATGGTCGACGTTCCGCTATCAAAGCTCGACTTGCCGACATCACCAGCTTCGACCACTTCCCTCTCCTTCCCGCGGTTCGACAGTCGATCTTCGCTCAGGCTCTAGCTGGTCTTGGTGATGTTACCCCCACGCCGATTCAACGACTCGCGATCCCCGAGCTGTTGCTGGACGAATCCAAGAAGAAGAAGAAAGTGAAGCAGGGGAACGAAGATGATGTAGAATACAACTTTGACCAGTACCTCCTGGCAGCAGAGACGGGCTCGGGAAAGACCCTCGCATACCTACTTCCAATTGTCGATGCGATCAAGCGTGCTGAAGTCATTGAGATTGAGGAGGAGAAAGTCCTTGAAGAACGAAAGGCACTAGAGCGGGAGGAGAGAATGAAGAACAAGGCGTTCGATCTGGAGCCGGAGGAGGCGCCAATGACAAACGCCGCTCGTCCTCGGGCCATTATTCTTGTGCCCACTTCCGAATTGGTATCTCAAGTTGGATCCAAGCTCAAGGAGTTGGCCCACACAGTCAAGTACCGCTCGGGCGAAATCTCATCAACTTTCACACCCCGCCGGATCAAGAACACCCTCTTCCACCCCGCCGGCATCGATATTCTAGTTTCAACTCCTCATCTTTTGGGCTCTGTGGCGAGGACAAACCCCAATATCCTCAGCCGAGTCACCCACCTTGTACTCGATGAGGCTGATTCCCTAATGGACCGATCGTTCATCCCAACAACGACCGAAATCATTGCCAAGGTTACGCCGTCACTCAAAAAATTGATTCTCTGCTCAGCCACTATCCCTCGCAGTCTCGACAACCAGCTGCGTAAGCGCTTCCCTGATCTCCAGCGCCTGACGACTCCCAACCTGCACGCCATTCCCCGTCGCGTCCAGCTCGGTGTCGTGGACATCGAGAAGGAGCCATACCGCGGAAACCGAAATCTTGCCTGTGCCGATACCATCTGGTCAATCGGCAAGGCAGGAGATAGACACGAGCACACCGAGACATGGGGACCCCTCAATGCTTACATGGAGCCGAAGGTTAAGAAGATCATTGTGTTCGTCAACGAACGCGAGGAAGCCAACGAGGTCGCCAGTTTCCTGCAATCCAAGGGCATCGATGCTACCTCGCTGAATCGTGACACCGATTCCCGGAAGCAACAAGAGACCCTCTCGCAGTTCACTGAGGTTAAGCTCCCACCGACTGCGGAGGAGATCATGATTAATAAAAAGAAGAATCGCGCCGCCGGCAGCATTCCCTTCGATCTCCCCGAGCGTCAAGAACCTATTCGCCGCCTTCCCGACACCAAGGTTCTTGTCACTACCGACATCGCCTCGCGTGGTATTGATACACTGGCAGTCAAGACAGTGATTCTCTACCACGTGCCGCACACTACCATCGACTTTATCCACCGACTGGGCCGTCTCGGTCGTATGGGCAAACGTGGTCGTGCTGTTGTCCTGGTTGGCAAGAAGGACCGCAAGGACGTCGTCCGTGAGGTTCGCGAGGGCATGTTCCGTGGCCAGGCTCTGATCTAGATCCAGATCCAGATCCGCGCGTTCGTGCATTCATTACATTGTAAAAATCTTGTAACATACATGGCGTTGGTTTGAGGTTTTGATTTTTTTGGGAACTGGAAGACGACTATACCCATTGTCGCAGCAATAGTCATTGAATCTTTGGAAGTATGTACGATATGCAATCATATATGATGAACCTAACTCTCCTCTTGCATAACGACGGCTGGGTCCAATTTCATCAACTAACTGTAACACGAACATTTTCGTTCCAACTTCTCACACGGGTATCTCCCTCGCCAGCTTTCGCCAGAGGTCACACCTCCTCTTCAATTGGACCAGCTTCACATTCTCAAAGCCATCATCCACAACAACGAATTCCTTGCCCGTGTGTAGTTCTGGCACACCTGGCTGCGAAGTATTCGTCACCTTGTGTGCATTTGGGTCTCCCGTCTGGAAGAAACTCGCGAAAGCTCCCGCATAGCCTTCATAAACGACCGGGTTTGTCTTTTGGACAGAGTTGATTCTGTTCCACTATAATCAGTCAGGTCAGCTTATGCCACCGAAACCGGGGGGGGGGAAGAGAGCAGCAGTAAAATGGGGAGAACAAACATAAATAGTATCACTCCCATGTGTCGCCGGGGAAATTGTATACTCCCCGAGATACCCTTTCTTCGTCGCAGCCGACGCAATCCAATAAGCCGGGCAGGCAAGCACAACATCCCGGTAAACCAAGCCAGCCCGAACATAAGAAGTATTATAACTGTCGATCATCTCTGTACTCCCTTCAGCGGGATAATAGAGAGATTCCACCTCGCCAATCTTCTTGGTCGACAGTCCAGGCACAAACCCGGAAAGCCACTGGTGGAAGCTCGCAACAGAGGAATTAAATCCATTTACCAAAACAGCGCTGTCAAGACCCGGCGGAACGAAGCCCTGGCCCTCGTGGCTGTTGTACATTCCCCAGACAAACTCTGTGTTCAGAGAGCCCCTGTTCACAGTGTCTGTAAGTGTCTCTACGAGGAAGCTTCCGTCTATCACCGGCGCCCAGGTGTAAGAGCTTGTTGTCCAGCTGTGGCTTGCTCCGATGATCAAGCTTGCATCACGGATTTTCTGGACGTCCACGGATTTGAGACAGGCGAGTGTCTTGCCAGCGTGGTTGGAGCTGGCACAACCTGTTAGATTCGCCAGCTGGGTATATATATCTTCTGCTTGGGGTGCGTTGTATTTATATGTCTTGGGCCAGAACGGCGAGCTGGCAAGGGCTTTGGAAAATAGTTTCGGTTGGCCATGGCGGCCGTTTGCGAGAACTTGCGCCACTACTGAGCCGGCACCGGCTGACTGACCCCATATTGTTACGTTGTGAGGGTTACCGCCAAAATGGCGGATGTACTTCTGGACCCATTTCAAGGCATATTGCTGGTCTAATAGCCCCGGGTTTAGATCTGAGGTCGACGAGTCTTTGATTGCCTTTCCGGGTAGGAAGCCAAAGGCATTGACGCGGTAGTTGGTGTAGATAACGATGTAGTCGTTGATATTGCTGACATTGAGGACCGGGAATGAGGATGGCGGCATTGTGAATGCCGCGCTGCCTTGAATGAAAGCTCCGCCGTAGAATACGACCAGCACTGGCCTACTAGTATGCTTAGCCAAATCCCATGGTCGTGAGAATAGACCCAGGTAGAGACAGTCTTCGGTGCCGTTGACCGTGCGCTGGGGACACATGTCGAAGTCCTGGTTTGTGTCGTAGAGGTCTCCAGTGATCTTTAGTGGTGGCTGAGGTGCGCGGAAGCGGTTCTCCCCTGTTGGTGGTGCAGCAAATGGGATCTTGCGAAAATAAGAGAGATTGTAGGTGCTGTCATATTGACCTTTGAAGGATCCGTAGTCGAGGGAAACTTGAGGATTGTCCCATGTAGTGCTGGCTGTGACCCCGAGGCCGAGGAGAAGGGTGACGATCAGATTTGAGAACATCATCTTCGTGTTTCAGTGGTTTTCGTTTTAGGGTTATTGTTCCATTCATATGTTGTGTTTAGCCTACCAGGCCCCAGGCCATATATAGCCTTTTTGTACACATTTAGGAAGCATCACCCCCATCTGACGAGAGAGATCGCATTCGGTAGAGGAAACCCCGAGCTTCTCTGTACGGCTCGCATGTATTTCGGTCATTGTCAAGTAGACATTCTCAGGCTTGGTTACGAGAGAAGCTCATTGGTGCAGTTATTGTTGACACCGGGACGAAATGCGGGGGATTTCTGCTGTGGTTGTTAATTCGGATTCGATCACCCCGATAGATCGTTGATCATATAGTCAGAACGAGCCATAGTTAGCTGGAAGATCCCCAGAACAGCTAGTTGTATTTATATTCAATATGTCCACAATTAATGTGTCAAAAAGTAACTGTCAAGGGAGTCCCCGTGAGAACAGAGCCCAAGTAAACACTGTGCCCTCCGGATTCCAACCCTAAATATGCATCCTTGCAAGAAATCCAAACTCCAGATCCAATTTCCATGCAAACAAGTATTATCCCAAATGCCAATTCTGCTAAACCAAAACTCCATCCTTCTCGTCTTGTCTCGTAGATCAAATAGGGCTCCAGGGCAGTACTGTTTACATAGTCATACGAAGTTCTCTGGTGCGACGCCGAGTTGCCCGAGCATCACGGCGAGACTCGGCTGCATCACTATTCTCCGTTTCTGGGGTGTTTGTGTCGGACAGCTCGGGGGTTGGGGTGATCCCAAAACTAACGCCACGGTCTCGACGACAGATACGTGATTGTGCATCGGGGGACAAGAACCGATGGATGGTGCGGTGATCCATTACTCGGTCTTCACCGTCCGGGCTTTTGTCCGTTGATGGCCACTGGTATCCGTACAGCTTGGAATGACGTTCGCAGCGCGGACATTCACGTCGCGTGAGGTATGAGTTTGACTGGAGGAACCATGTATCACAGGTCTGGCACTCCACCCAACGATCATACTTCTGGGCAAGCAATCGTGATGTCTTGGTATAGTCTCCAGGGAATCGGGCAACTTGCGACTCTGTCTCGACGGAGTCTATAATGAATCGCCGCTTAGTGCGAGGCTTTCGCGCCTTGGGCTTAACGGCATGGGCGTCGTCTAATTTGGTGGAATTTGATAAGTTTGACTGTCCTTCTTCGGTTTCAATGTCCATGGGGTGGGTGGTGACAGGCTGACCTTCAGGAGAGGCATCAGGATGATCCTCGCCGTTAAGTTCTTTCGACTCAGACGGTTCCACTGTAGTTTCTTCTGTCTTGATCTTGGTTCCCAAGTCATCCTCGGTTGTGGGGGTAGTTGAGGTCGACGACCGGTGGGATTCATCGGCAGTGGAGTTTAGAGATTCGCAGTCCGTGGGAATGGTAGAATTAGTACCACTTGTCCCATTTGAGTCGCCCTGGGCAGTCACGCTTGGTTGCCCCGCCCCTGTGACAATTGGAAGGGAGGTTGATGGATCGGATGGCGATACCACTGCAGTTAGCTCGGTGATCTCTTTCTTCAACTCGGACCCCTGGGGTATATTCTTCGCCAGAAGAGCAGTTGGAATTAATAAAGTATCCGGGATAGGGGTGTTGTCTGAGCCGCGCGTTGGAGCTGATTCCCCAGCAAGTTCAGAAACCGAGACCTCTTCTCGCAACTTCGAAACTTGTCGTTGGAACTTTGCACGTTTGCGCGGGGTGGAGCAAGTCAAAGTAGAGGGGCTGTCGGATTCATCCACCTCTGAGCTGCGTCTACGCTTCCTGCTCACATTGCTATCTTCAACCGGTGTAGCTTCAGAAATGGGGCTGGACTCTTTGCTGTTTGGCTCTGAGTCAACATGCGGAGACCAGCCATTCCGTACAGCACTCTCGCAAGTATGACACAGACACTCGCAGTTGTCAACGCCAAAATAATCCTCTCCGTAGGAAACCGTGATCTCTTCTCCCTCGTGGATGTCACGCATGGCTAGGACAGACATACCCTCGTTGCCTCTGGTTGTCAAGCTGCCGTTGGCATCACAGTCATGATTGGCAAAACGAGCAGGACCCAGAAAGAACGATGGGGCTTTGCGACGACTCGACATCACGATGCTGAAGTCTTTACGGGTCAAGCCGAGATCCAACTCTTCTTCATGGGTCATAGACACGAGCGTTCCACTCAAGTATTTGATCTCCTCGCCCTTTTTAATAAATCTGCGAGCGCAGATCGCAGCTTCGTGTTGCGTTATGATGTATCGATTGGTCGTGGTAACCTCGAACGGACAGTCTGGAAGATACATCTGAATGTACTTGCGGAGGTGCCGGCGGAACCACTCCTTCTCTCGAGGACTACGGAGGTTCGCCATGTATTTCTTTAAGCCTGGTATATCCAACAACTTGTGTTCGGCCGTTGGGATATCCTTATCGACAATAACATCATGAAGAAGAATGCGCCCAATATCGTCATCGTGGATTCCGCGGGCAGGGCTGTACTTGGTGCGGTTCTTGCGAGTAGTGGTCCAAAAATAGGCCTATCAATAGCAAGTGTCAGTGAACATATATATGTGTTGAATTGCAGGAAAAGAGCATACGTGATCCACCAGCGCATCGGTTGCGACATCATCATAGCTGGCCAGTTTAGCTAGTGTCAGGCGCTCGCGACGTTCGGCGGTGGGCGAGCTCTTTCGCGCTCTCTTTGGGGGCATGATGAATGGACAAGAATTTGAAGACCGCTAGATATCGAAGTGAGAGAAAAGAGGTGGTCCCATAGAATGCGGGCGGGTGCAAAGGTAGTTGGGGAACAGTGGAGGGCGGAGGTCCGAGGGATGGGGTCGAAAAATGAATCGAGACGCAAGAGAAGAACTAAAATGAGTGACTGACAATCAACACAAGTAACATTGTAATGTGATTGTCACCATTGAGGCTGTTCCAAGGAGAAGACCTCCTTCGCAGATGTTTTTAGGGGCGGAACGGACACTCGGGAGTGCCAGCTTAGACCTTGCCGTCTTTCTACTTTTGTCCTTCTTTCCCCTTGACCTGTTCTTTTTGCTCTACTTTATAACTATTGCATATGAGCTAATCAATTATAGTTGACTTTTTATCTTTTTACTCCGTACAGGATTTGTTGTGACTTAATTCTACGCGCCCAGCTCGCATACGATATGCACCGTGCGTCAAGCCTCCAATCCCATGTCGTATCACCGCGAACCTGTTGGAGTGGAACTATTGCAATTGCACCCAATCAAGATGATTCTTGAGATTAAATGATCGTTCTCTTATTGTTTTGCGTAAAATATACTTCCCTCAATGGGTTTTTTGCTGGGGAATATCCACAGCCAATGAACTGCTGGAGAATCTGATGGATCCAAGTATGAACATGGTCACTTTCGTGGACTTCCTTAGGAAGAACCCGTAGTTTTTCATAGGCTAATCTTGTCTTGCACCTCCTCGGGGATACAGAAAAGCCAGCCTACCTGATTAAGGAGGAAAATAAGAAAACACAAGGACTATCATCCGAATCCAGGATGTGTTTGAACTATATATCTTGTTAACACTGGGACGCCGCTTGGATTGAGTCAACAACATAGATACCCACATAGGATGTTATTCAAATAACCAGAATAAATACCTCTTGAGACTATTAGTCTAATAAAACCGATAATAATAAACACACAAAACAGGTCTGGATCTTATGAACAAGCGGCGTTTCTTGTGCTTGTTTGAGGTTTGTTTTAGTTGATATGGTCAATCGGAGAACCAAGACAGTTATTCTAGAAGTAGAAAAGCAAATAAATGTAAGATTTGTAATAATCGAACAACTGCACAAAGTCCAATTTCCAAAGAATACAACTTGAAGTCCCATTATTTAGATGTAGTTATGTAGTTATAGAAAGGCATAACTATAGTATCGGATAAATTTATTATCCGGGAAACCTCCGGGGCCGCGAGAACAAATTGCGGACAAGGACTATCTACAGACCAAGTACCAGAACACAATGATTCAATTAAAGGTGTGCAAGCGGTGCCTCCCACTGGCTCACAAAATACTGACCCTCGCTCCGCCAGACACTATTAAGTTGCATTGACAACTCCGGCGCCTCGATCGTCGAGTGCGTGAACGTCCTGAAGAAGAAGCGGCCCGCGACAATTGGTCAGTCTCCACGGCCCTCGAACCCAGCATACAGCACACCAATAAGGGAATTGCAAGCTGACATTCTGGTGGTTATCTAGGTGATCGGATAGTCGTCGTCGTCCAGAAGCAGCGATCTGCAGGCTCGGAAGCCACTACCGCCGCTGCGCTCGCCAGCAAGGTGCGCCGTGGTGATATTCGTCATGCCGTTGTTGTTCGCGTGAAGAAGGAGCTGCAGCGCCCTGATGGGTCCCTTGTCCGGTTTGGTGATAATGCTTGTGTGTTGGTCAACAAGTCCGGAGATCCCATTGGGACACGAATGAATGGTAAGCGCTCCTCGGGGAGTCTACGATGATCGCCGTCTCCACCGTTTAATACTGACATCTCTACAGGTGTCGTGGGACAGGAGCTACGGAACAAGAAGTGGTCAAAGATCTTGTCATTGGCGCCGATTCATGTTTAATATTTCACGTTTCTACATTCGTTGGGAAGCGCTCGTTTTTGATTTGATTGGATTTGAATCCATATGTATTCTTAGTATGTAGCATCAGTTTCACCCCCGTTCCGAAATCTCCACGCATTTTCCTCCGTTCCCTGCTCCGAAAGAATTCGCCAAACTCCGATGATATCGCAAAAAAACCACAAAAACAAAGAATTCAAGGGTATCGGAAATTTGAGACCGCATTGCAGGAACGTAGAAAGATCACATGTAGACTTGACCGCACGCACAACAGACGTAGTAGAGTTTCTGAGTAAGTGAGAGCATGAGTTAGCGCATGGTTCATATTAGTGGCGGGACAGGGATCCATCGAAGGATTATTTCTCACCATTCCGGTCTCGGCGGATCGTTGTTGTGACTGGAAGAAGACGGCTTCGGTTTCGCCGCAGCTTGGACAGAGCTTGTTGGCCCGCGGGAGCTGTAAGTCATGGGGGTTAGCCTATAGATACTCAGGAAGTTACAAAGCGGGGGCGTCTGCCCGGGACTCGACTTCAGAGGATTCCAGGCTGTCACCCACAGGCGGCGCATCCTCGAGGAGATCCTCGTCGGGGGTGGAGCCGCAAATAAAGCAAGTAATGATATCACCGCAAAGAGTACAAAAAGCAGGAGCACAAACCGTGGGGTCAGAAGTCACATCCTGAGTAACACCAGCGGTGTCACCAACTTGGCTATGAAGGTGGTTCTGGTAAACACAGTGGGAGGAGGCAGGCTCGCCAACATGGCAGGTACGGCAGGTAAACATCAGCTGGTTGTTGACTCGATCCTCCTTGGGGTACAGCAGGTTGGAGCTATAAAAAAGTCAGCAAGATGTCCTCGAGCGATAATTTTAGCTGGGCGACTTGGATATGAACTCACCATTCACGGCAAAACCTGAAGTGAATTTGATCCGAGGGCTTGGTGTCGCCACCAGTCGTGGAGGAAGGGCTGGCAGACATGCTGCAAAGATGGGTTGAGATATCCTAGGTAAACGTTTTATAGCGAGCTGGGAGAGCAGAGCAATTTCCGAGGATATCTTCGAAACGGAGACGGTGGATTGGAGAGGAAAAAAGTAATTCTATACTCACCTTCATGGTGACTGTTGGAAAGCGCAGAAATGAAGTCACGTGCGACATTTAAATCACGTGCCGAGAATTGGTGGTGAGTTGGATTAAGCTAACTATACAAAACATAGTATTGAAATTCCACGGGGTGTCTGTGTCGTCTCGACTCTAGCACAATCTTAACAAGAGCAACCCCTCGATTAATGAAAGGCATTAATTTCAAGATCATCCCACCAAATCTTCCTGTCTATTAGAGTCCCGGGGTATACTTATGTAGTATTGACATATACATTGATTAATTCCACATTACCACATACATAAGTGCATGTATGGGTATCTGCATTGGAAAATGCACTGTAGCTCAAATTTATGACTGCGAGTTTCTCTAGTAAATTCGCATTTGTACAAGTGCGTACTCATCATGTACGTAGTCTAGATGGTGATCGCTCAAATTGGAAGCGGAGAGCTAAAGCTGTCATGTTTGTGTGGTTTGCAATTGTTCACCTTCCCCCGCAGTTTCCGTTCACATACAACGATTAGACTTAAATCAATTTTGGCATTGAATCCGGAGTGATTTTGATCTGTACATTATTATTTACTCAAAAATTCTCATCTTTTAGACCCAATCTTGGAAAAATGGTGGGATCAAATTATCCTCAAATCTTCGAAGTTTGCATAGCTGACTCTTGGACCTAGGCCGACACAGGTCTTCCCACCGGTTGGGAAGTTCGCCATTCCAACTCTAAGAATCTCCCATACTATTTCAACCCTTCCACAAAAGAGTCTCGTTGGGAACCACCTGCCGAAACCGATACCGACAAACTCAAAGTCTACATGGCGCAAAACCACACCCCGGCTGCTGCTCGCCCTGACGCCTCTGGCGAGGGCGAGGGCAAGATCCGCTGCAGCCACTTGCTTGTCAAGCACCGCGATAGCCGCCGTCCCAGCAGCTGGAAGGAGGCCGACATTACTCGCACAAAGGAGGAGGCTATTGAGATCCTCAAGGGCCACGAGCAGCGCATTCAATCTGGAGAGATCACTCTTGGCGACCTGGCAGTCTCTGAGTCCGACTGTAGCAGTGCCCGGAAGAAGGGCGATTTGTGAGTTCCTCTCAGTAACCTACATGCTATACGCCTTGCTAACCCCTGAAAGGGGCTTCTTTGGTCGCGGTGAGATGCAAAAGGAGTTTGAAGATGCCGCTTTTGGCCTACAGCCTGGCGAAGTCAGCAGCATCATTGAGACAGCATCCGGAGTTCACCTCATTGAGCGGTAGGTTCATTTCTTGAAGTGAAGTTGTTTATGGCTAATCTCGGATTTCTGTCTCCAGTGTCCAATAATCGCATGCTCCCACCCATATTTTGGTCAATTCCACTGCGAAAAATTCCGATCGCATCAATGCTTTGCAGACCCTAGTCTCACATCTTGGAATAATCTTCGAAAAAAAAATAAACTACAACGAATGAAATGCCATCTTTGTTCTCTTCTGACTTAGAATGTCTTGTTTCGGGCAAGAACAATCGAGTAGCGGAACCTACCACAGCCTTTCCCCATAAGATGCCAATATATTCTTTGAAGAAGTCTCAAAATGCCTAAATGTTACGAAAGAAGATTCGGAGATACGAGACTTGAGGCCTTGGATTCGTCAAGGATGTGATACCAAATCTATGTAACCAACTCTAAATAGACTCTTAGGCTGATAGCGCGTTTAGGCTTAGTAGTTGAATCAACCAAAGATTTATTATCGGAAAGGCAAATCGAGAACCAAAATAAGCCACGAGATTACATGTCAAAATAAGGATGTCAAAGGCCATTGAGCACATACAAAACACTGCTACAGACGAGACATCTCCCAGGTCTACTTTTATTCTCCCATCTTTCCCACACACACTCTTCCCACACGCTCACCACGAATGAGCAGCGTCACCCATAAACTCCGCCAGAGGCGGTCCATGATGCGCCTTCTTAATCAAGATCGCTCGATTCTCGAGTACACTTTCGAACCAAATGTCTTCATCGTCCCCCAGTGGATCCTAGCGCCCCCCGAGGTGCGTCATGCCTTGAACACCCTCCAGTACAAAGCCATGGTAGCCATCTATGACATGAAGAGCCTCATGCTCATCCGTGACAACCGATACTTCCAGTTATGCCCCCAAAACACGGGCTCCGTGATCCACCAGCTTCATCAATCCTCCATAAATCGTCTCCTCGAATGGAAAGAGGATTGGACCTTCATCGACCCGACCCTTGCAAGCGCCGCAAAAATCCCCCGTGACTCTCTCCACTTCTGCGTCGACTCGATTGCCTACGGAAAGTTTACCTGCGAATATACCCGTAAGATTGACGAGTTTATGTCTGGTTCTTTCCAGAGCTGGCGCCAGCTCCGCGCTGAGATCGGACACCTTGCCTATCGTCTCATGAGCGACAACCCACATGGCTACGAGGAATGGCGGGTCTGGTGGGAGGGTAAATTTGCTGATGATATGTGGAAATGGGAGGTTTGCCTCGAGGGCCTGATCTTGCCTACCTGGGAGGAGATCATCGACGATGTTTACCTGATGATCCACGATCGAGTCGAGGATGCCCAAGACCTGGCCAACTCATTCTACATCAGCAGCCCGGTGTTGACGTTGTCGACTTGACTTGGCTCTGCACGACTGAGCTTTGATTTTCTGAATTACGATTCAATGGATATGACGGCAATTACGACAACAGTGTGACTTAGGATTTAGGCTTGCTTTTTATGGAAATAACCAGGAGTTTTGATTTTGATTTCTTTTTTGATATTTGTTCCTTCTGAAATACAGCAAACTACAAGCTATGTATTCTATAATCGATTATAATAGTTAAAGGCGAATGCAATTTGACCCGAATGAACGACTATAGTGAACTTGGATCCATAACACACTAGTTTTTCTGGAGCTCTATTACTTGGGATCATTATGAGAAGCTACTCAGACCATAGACACCCAATAATCTGATATCTAATTGCCTAATGAAAGAAAAGTAAAAAACATTGATGTACCTGAATGATCACGTGTGTGTTCGAACCCTACATATCGATGGTAGCCGCCGGCCTGGAGGAACAAAGAAAGCTACGTAGGTACCTTGTCATTGTTTGTCTTCTGTAAAAATAAGACAAGAAATACCAAATTAATCAAACAGACAAACAAAGAAGCACCGGGAATGGAAAGAAAGAGAGATCCACCAAACCTGAAGGGACACATGGTCTTTGTGCAATCTGATACTTTCTTTAGGGTAGACTAGTCGACCAGAGCTCTCTTCTATGACTATATCTTCAATGAAACTTGCAAGTGGAACTATAAGATACAGGACAGGGTGTCTCATTCATACTCTCCACTAAACCTTGTCGCCTATCAAGGTACCAACCCAACGGAGTCTTAGATTCCCCATCCTTCAAGATGTGCATCCACTGGACATGCAAGTACACGCTGTGCGGCTGTATATGGGATATGGACCCTTCAAAATGTCAAGACAAGCGGCTCTGCTGGGGTCCAAGAATGATAACACTCGAATCTCACACAGCGACTTGCGGAGACTGTTGGGTGAGAGGGGATAAACGTGTCTACGAACAAGAAACATGTGAAGAAGCTGGCGGGGATCGAGAAGCATCCAAAAGGGCGACATTGGATTGCGAAAGCGAGGCAGATACAAGTGACAATAGTTCCGACGATGAAGACTACTTTTCGGCTGATGTGCCCCTGTCGCCGTCCTCATACTCGCGACCTGCGACCCCGCAACTATACTATGAGCAACATTCAGCATTGTGCCCCGTATCTGAGGATAACGATTTCGATTTGACTAGGACATGTGACCCGGTGGATCTTGCGTCAATGGGGAGGGACTATCGAGCAAGACGCTACAAGACGACCCGATCCGAGTACTCGTCGGATGGTACTGATTCTTTTGTTTCTTGTGAAGAGTACCTCGACGAAGAATCCACCGAAGAGGAGAATTTCGTTTCGGAGAACGAAGAAGACGATTTCTACTATAGTATCGTAGGTCCCCCTGGTAGGCGCAAAGGCGTGATCAAAAGCTTGGAGGATCGATCGTTGCGGTTATATGGCTCAGTGCAGGAGTACTACCCAACAGCAGAGTAGGAGAGACACGAGGGGCGGACTGGAAGATGTCGCCAAATGTGTTCGTTGTAGACTGCACCATTTATTCTCGAAAGCCTTATTTTAGTGTAATATTTATTATTTTGGGATCATTTCAGGACCAGCATCGGATTATTGTGTAGATGGAAACAGAATGAAGGGGTGTGGAAGCATGGCCATTTGAGGCTATATAAACCAACTAGGAGGAATGGAGATACAGAGCAAACTGATATGTTGTAATAACGATTAATGGTTTGATAAGTTTTGCCTAGATCTAGCTTAGGACAGGAAAGCCTAAGGCTCAAGGTTCAAAATTGAGACAGTGGCTCGTCTCACGAGCCTCATGATTGATGCGTAATACCATACAAGTGAGAAACTAGACTCTCTAAGAACATGTAGAGCTAGATAGTTCACAGACTCGTGTTCAGTCGTTCCAAACGTGACGTAATCGCGTCAATAACAGCGGACCTGGAGAAAGGTTAGTCATTGAGTCATTGACAGGTGGATAAAAGAATGAACTCACTCTCGTTCGACCATCCTCATAGCATCTGCAATCTTGGCCCGTTGTAATCGCTGGGGCACCTTGGGCTGACCCCCAGGAGAGGACGGAGCTCCAAGTTCGGGAGAAGGCATTTTGCCTGTGACAGACTTGGTTTGGGCCATAAGGTCCAGAGCAAGGCGTTTGACCTAGGTAATATGTGAGTATTTTTGAGCAGGCCGAATGCGACAAAGACAAAACTTACAGTCTCCAACCGTGAGATCAATGGTTGATCTTCCTCTTGGTCTTCACCCTGCTGTAAGGATGCAGACAATGCCTTCACCTCGGTTATCCAAGCCTTCTCCTTTTCGCTCAGAGGGCGACCTCCAGAATTCAGGACCTTCGTGCGTAGTGCCTCATATCGTCGGTTCAGTTCACTTTGCCTATGCTGGGCAGCTTGCAATCTCTTATCCAGGGCCTCGCCATTTCGGACACCCTCCTTGCGATGCCCATCTTCCCCTATCTCACTTGTGACACCCTTGACACGCTCTGCAACATCTGCAAGTTGCTTCAGTTGGTCCTGCATCTCGCCCTGCAGCCGCTCACAGCGGCGGAATAAATCCGAAGCAGCTCGCTCAAGAGCATTTGTATGGGCAGATAGCACGCGATGCGCAGTGGCCACAAGGTCCAATGTCGCCGGAGACAGGCGCACCTGCTCTTTGAGCGTATGGCGTTGCCGGTGTGGGACATGTTTCTCCACAAAAGAGTCCAGCGGAGAGTTGGCGTAGAAAATGGCGGGAACTTGATACGGGGCTCGGCTCGGGGGCAAAATAGGCAAGCCTGATGCTGGCGCTCTACAATCATACAGCGACTTGTCCAGTGCCACGGACAGAGAATCTTCTGGTGTATCCATCACAGCTGCATAAGGGTTAGATGGATGATAGGTGAGGAGTAAGTAGCCAAGGTCGAAGTCATAGAAAACAAGAGACGTGGCCAGATGTTCATTCTGCGCGATAATATCGGCATTCGAAACCTGCAAAATTCTCTCTCGGGTGGTCACATTCCCGTCACAGAGAACTTGGAGACGGAAAGCGGAACCTGCAGTGTCTTCGGTTTGTAATTCAGCTTCTAGTCTCTGTACCCAGCCGGATAGAGAGAGGAACACCACATTCGTGGCAGTTGTCACAAAGAAAGAGTATCGAGAATGGACATCCTTGGTGAAAGTGGGCCATGTACTTGTTTCCTCTCCATTTTTGATTGTATCCAGCGATTCGACCAGGACCAATTCAGTTGGCTCTGAAAGAGGAGTTCGGAAAGCGTTCTTTCTAGCTTTGGGTAGCCATTGTCCTTCAACGCCATCAAGCTCTAGACAGACGTGGACTCGGCCATTCCCACTAGTAAGAGAGAGAACCGTTGCCGACAGCTTCTCTTGGCCTGCGGCTTCCACGGCTAATTCTTCTTCCTCGCCCATCATGAGATCCTCGACGTTTAGACTGGCAGCAATGACAAGAAGATCGCAGAGATCCAAATCATCGATTTCATCGCCATTATCGAAGCGGAAAGGCCCCTGTAATCTTGGAATGGCGCTAGGATTGGCCGGGCGAGTGAACACATCAGCGCCTTGGATTGTTTCGGATCCAGAAGGCGCACCAAGAGGCTCTTGTTCATCAAGCTCGGAGAGCCAGTCGTACTGTTGCCGGCAGGCAATCAGTTCCTCCTCCGATTCCTCGGGTTCCTGTTCCAGAGCACCGAGTTTTGGAATAATCGTCGCAGAAAGAGAAGGAATGGTCGTAGAGGGAGCTTGCCACTTCGAAGGCAGGAGAGGACAAAGCGCATAGAGATCACCGGGTCTCATCGCCACCCACAGGGTCATAGGTGCCCATGCATCTTCTTTCTCGCTGCCATTGCCAGCGAAACAGGCCGACGCAACCTCCATGTCAATGACATCAGCAGAGAATCCCTTGTTTTTGCCAAATCCAGAAGGCGCGAAGTCCTGGTCGGATGAGGTCCCATCGACGAGCTTCTTCAGATCGATTGCTAGGGTCGGCTGGTCGAAGGACCAGTGGTTATTCCGGTCCAACTCCCAAACACGCACCGCAGCATCAGCTGTGATTGTAACAATGCAACCCCCTAGAGTGGTGTGCAATCCTAGTGGATGCCATAGTGCGGAGACCACCGGAGCTTCAGGAATAACATGGGTTGTCGGTCCTAACTGATACGTCTTCAGCCGGATAGAGTCGCAGTCGGAGGACGAAAGGTGCGAAGAATCGGGGAGAACGGAAATATGAACAGTGTGTTCAGTGACGATAGCAAGGAAGGCGCCGTTCGGGGAGGGGATGATTTGTTTGATCAGTCCATACACAGGCACTGCCAAAACCTGCGGAACTGTTAGTCGCAATTCAATTCAATCCAAATCTGGCCCCCTTAGGTGTAATAGATATCCATACCCTGTAGGGAGGGGGCTGAGTGTGGTCGGTTTGCTCTTCAGCTTGACCAGCAGGTCCCTTCTTCTGCTGAATCTCTTGTTCCCATTGGTCTTTGAGTCGGGCAAGGTTTGACCACCGGATCTCATTGTCCACAACGGCGAACACCTCATTTCCCCTATTAGCGATCGTTCGCGTAGCTCCATTGTTCACAGGCTTGGATCCAGTTTGCAGGTCCTCCGCTGGACTTTGGGCTGAACTGCTGGACAGGAACTTTGCGCCAGGCGAGGGCCGGCACAGCCAGGCAGGCGCATAACTGTTGACCTTCGGCATTAAGGATGGTTCGTAAATTGTATTGTATAATCGGAAGGTGTTAAGAGTTTCAGACCATCCTGGGGCGGTCGGAAATAGTAGACGAGTTGCGCGGGTGAAAAAACAAAGTAGACGAAAGCAAAGTTGTTGATGCGGAGTGGAATTCTTGGGTGCCAAGATCTTTCGAAGAGCTCCGAGCTGCTTTGCTTCCCCAACTACCTTCTGTCAACCACACACTCCAAGTTCAACATTCGTCTCAATTCACCATGAGCTTGCTGGCTGTAAATACAGTCGATCGACTGGATCGACCTAGCGCATACTATGTCAGCAAGGTGAGTACTCGTCCTGGACTACCCTTCACCAAGCTGCGTAGAAACCAGTCCGAATGGGCTATAGACGCTGAACAATTGTATGCAGAACAAGCGACGCAGATTCAACGATCGGGAGGAAGAGGAACAACAGCAGGAGAAACCTGACGACAAATTGAAAGACGCGACAACCCTCTACGTGGGAAATCTGTATGCAAGCATGCAATAACCTAGACGCATTTTCCGTTACTGACCAATTCAAGCTCCTTTTATACCACCGAAGAACAAATCCACGAACTGTTTGCCAAGTGAGAATGCGCCTTTGGTTCCCTTCGAATTATGATTAACCTCGAATTCTAGGTGCGGTGAGATCAAGCGACTTGTAATGGGCCTCGACCGATTCAACAAAACACCCTGTGGCTTTTGCTTTGTCGAGTATTATACCCACCAAGATGCGCTGGATTGCTTGAAGTATATTGGAGGAACCAAGCTGGATGAGCGGATCATTCGGACAGACCTTGATCCCGGATTTGAGGAAGGACGGCAGTTCGGGTATGTGGTCTTTATCAATAGCGGCTACGGGCTAGTATGACTGACTTTCTCTACAGACGAGGCAAATCGGGTGGTCAAGTGCGTGATGAATACCGCGAAGAATACGATCCGGGCCGTGGTGGATATGGCCGTGCCTATGATGAGCAGCGCCAGCGCGAGGAGGATGAATACGGCGCCGGAAGGTAGGTCAGGACATAATGAAAAAGTACTGGCTTGGCAAAGCAATGGCGTTACTTAATGGGAGGGTGAATCCAATTAGCAGAAACAGGAAATGTCTATTCACCGAATACTCTATCTACAATTTTCTTTCCCCCCCCATCGCCTTCTAATGCTGTGGATCTATTGCTTTAACTTGTCTCGTTTCAGCACTGCTGATTGAACTTCGTGCAACCACCAAATGTGGATTCTTGCGTCGCCTGTCAACTCCGGGTGGAAGCTGGTGCCGAATACATTGCCCTGTCGCACTGCGACAATGTCGCCAACTTCCTGGTCAGGATTGATGTCTCGACCCTCAGTGGCGTGTTGAGCTGCTGGTCCCACTAATGTTGCTAGTACCTCGACGTGCTCTGCTGTTGCTGCTTGCGCTACTGAGTCCCGTGCTTGCCTGGATGGTGCTACGACAACATCATCCTGTTGAATCTCTTCCGTTTGAATGCCCTCATGATGGGGGAGAATTTTCTCCACGATAGGGGCACGGATGAATACTGCTGGGAATGGAGGCGCGTCTGGACCCAGGAATGGCAGATCCAGCGGGCCTTGGAAGCTTTCCGTCTGTCTACCGAAGTGGTTTCGGTTCACTCGCACATCAAGACCACCGATGAGCTCTTGCCCGCCCTTCTTTGTCTTGTTGGCAGACTCAGCGAGCAAAATGAGCCCAGCGCATGTACCCCACGTTGGTTTGCGATCCACTCTAAATACCCAACGTATTAGATAGATAGGATTGATATCGACTGACTGAAGTCACTTACTTTACAAATTCCCGCAGTGGCTCAAGCAGATTTGACCTTTCTGCGACTAAAGACATGGTGGTACTCTCTCCTCCAGGCAAGACCAAGCCATCGCATGTTGCTAGTTCTTGTGGCGTTCGTACTTCAATGAAGTGCCATTCCGACGATGGCGCATGTTCGGCGGCTTTCTTCAACAGTTGCACATGCTCAAAGAATGCACCCTGTAGGGCCAGAACTCCGACGGTGATAGGCATTTTCTCTAAATGTAGGAATTGAGGATTGTCCGCCCTCGGATTCTTGTTATTGATGACTCGTTTGGAGGCACGTGACTTTAACTTTCCGGCGGGAACCCATTATCACGTGATGTAGTATTATCTCCGTCTTTATTTCCACGCGATACCATATATCAAGAACCGCATGGGTGAAAAGGGAAGAGCGACATATACAAATCTATCGATGGTTACTGTCTCCATGCACCGCTAGGCATGACGACACAGTATTTCCACGTTTATTCTCATGTATCTTCTCAGCATATTAATTCCACGCACCACTACATGCGGCTGTCTTATCGACACGTGTTGATAGATACTCCGATATGCGGGGCCAATAAAAATGTCTTCGATCTGCCAAGGTGGGATACGGCGCATGTAAGATCAGTATATATGAGACTCTTGATAACAATGCAATGGTAAACCTCGGTGTATCTGGACTTGTGAGTAACTAGCCGGGTCCCTCGTAATGCACCCACTAACCAATTTCAGACCAAAATGGATCTCAATGAGATCAAACAGAACGACATCTCTAAGGACCACCCCACATTGGTCCGATGGTATATCGATGTCAGACGTTGGGATGAGACCTTTTTTGACCTCCCTTTACTTAATACCTTAACTCCATCTGATCAGACAGCCGTTAAGAAGTACTATCAAATCTCGGACAAGCGCCTGTCCTTGGCCTCCCAGCTCCTGAAATATTACTACGTTCACCAAGCCACTGGCACTCCTTGGAATAAAATTGAGATTCAGCGTACCCCAATTCCCGAAAATCGCCCATTCTACGACTCAAGTCTTGATTTCAACGTAAGCCACCAGGCTGGTCTCACGCTTTTCGCAGGCACGCGTGCGGTAACAGCCCACTCAACCGGGGAACCCCAAGGTTTGCCTCGCGTGGGCGTTGACATTGCCTGTGTCGATGAACCCTCTCGTCGTCGCTCTAATCGTCCCCCGAAGACACTTGCCGACCTGGCAACTTTCGTCGATGTCTTCACTGATGTTCTCTCACCCCGTGAGCTTGCGACCATCAAGAACCCCTATGTGACTCTTCAATTGGCGCGTAAGCTTGGTTTCAGGAAAAGTGACCCGAGCAAAGACAACGAGGAAGTTCTTGCTGCCTACGGTGTTCGGTTATTCTACTCGATTTGGGCTCTCAAGGAGGCCTACTTGAAAATGACCGGAGATGGCCTTCTGGCCACTTGGATAAAGGATCTGGAATTCACAAACGTCATTCCCCCCGAGCCCGTTCAGAAGCTCGGATTTCCTGATCGCCCTCTCACTCCTGCCGCCCTCATTACACCCTCAGTCCAAAATTGGGGCCGGCCTTACTCCGATATCAAAATCTCCATAGGTGGCATTCCCAACTATTCTGTGCGCGTCCAGCTCGTTAGCTTCGAGGCCGACTACATTGCCGCCACAGCCGCTTCTGGCCCTAATATTGGGGCTGTTTCGCGGCAGGTGGTCGTGAATGACAGCGATCACCACCGGTGCATCACAGCCCTCGACCCTGGAAATGGACATCAGAAGATCCGTATTGCTCCCCTCGCGCTTCGCACAGTCGGCGACCAGGATCCCTGGCGGGTGCACTCGACAATCAGTGACCCCTGGTTGCCCATGCAAGAGGTCGATATTGACATCGATATCCGGCCATGTGCCGAGGGCCGCTGCGAGCATACCCAGAAGCCACCAAGTTTCTAAGTCCCCTCTTCCTGGTTTATGACCAGGTGATCATCCTTCCGAGCTACTTGCATGTTGCATCTCCTCATTCCATATTTCCTTTTAAGCGAGCTCTTCGGCGCGATTATTCCCCTTGAGCATATTTCTGCGTATTGTCCTGTTATTATTAGCGAAAATAAAATGTTTCCTTTCATTCCATCTCTGCGCCTTTATTCTGATTAGTAGGTCCCCCCCCCCCCTCATAACGAGTGTAATCCCTTCTGAGGTAGTTGTAATTCTTTTTCCGGAACGCTAGGTGAGTGCCGATCAGATGTCCATCTCCAATAAGCCCTTCAATGAATTCACTTTTGATGTCACTTTTCAATTACTGAAAGATGGGATCCACGACCAATCCTCGCCGATAAAGGACAAGTATGGATAAAGGATCCAAGCCTATTTCTATTCCATGGACCAGTGGAAACCAAGTATATAAAAGTAAGAAAAGCAAATATCCAACAGTAGCCATCATGTCATGCGTTTGCGCTAAGAATATATACGTTTTAAATTGCAAAAGGGGAAGAGGTAGATCAAGAGTCAAAGGTCTGTCAAGAGGCAATGCCAATGTATAGACGATTGTTGGTTTCCTGAGCAGTGAAGGATGGTGTCGGATAGGATCGACGCCTGGGGCCCGCGAATTCTATTTCTTGGGTATCGAAGAAACGGACAGGAATATACTGCAGTGAGTTCCAATCGCAGATTGCTTCTTGGTTAATTGTGGTGGTCGGGTTTGCTCTCTGCTGTAATTTCAATTTAAATGCCTGATATTGCACTCAAATCAAAAGAGAGATATGGTGAGTGCCGAGCGCAGAGCTATGTGACGAATCACAATTTTGATTCGGCACTTAGATTTCGATGGCGGTGGAGACGCCGTTGGTGCGGGCAACATCGACCTCCTCCTTCTGCGCATGGGACATTGCTGCAAGAGTCTTCAGCATTGAATCCCGCGTCGAGTTGGTCAAGCTATCCACATCTTCCGATGTCAAATCCCGAGTCAGGATGGGAGGCAAGACTGTTTCATGATTGTCAGCTATGCTCTACACTGATCTTGGTAACTTCTAGTATGACCCACCTTTGATTTTGATAGCTCCGGCGTTGAATCGCCAGGCACGAGGCGACAGAATGTGCGAATAGTTCTCCGTCACAATCGGCACGATCGGCACACCGGCCTTGACAGCGAGATGGAAAGCACCCTTCTTGAAGGGTAGTAGGGTAGGCTCGTCGGAGTAACTCCGGGTTCCCTCAGCGAAAATAAAAACGCTCTGGCGGTGATCGCGCATCTCGGCGGCGGCACCATCAAAAGCCTTGAGGGCTGTCTTCCGGTTGGCACGGTCAATGAACACAGTCCGGGACAGAGACATGAACCAGCCTAGGAAGGGAATATTGCGCAGTGACTTCTTGGCAGTCACACTGCAGTATGGCGGGAAGACACTGCCAAGCATCAAGACATCGAGCTCAGTCTGGTGGTTACCAATGAAAACGGCCGGACGGGTAGAGAGGTATTCTTCGCCTTCGACAATTTCGAACGTGACGCCGGTGGTGAAACGCATCAGCCACTTAAAGCTGCGGCCTGCTGCCCACTGTGAAACACGGCCATATCCAACTAACCGCAGACAGATTGAGACGACCACGCCATACGCGGCAGAAACGAGGAGACAGCCATATGAGGCAAGACACCGGGCGAAGAAAGCGGCGCGAGGCACTTTTTGACCGATTGCAAAGAGAGAGGCTGTCAACACAACGAAAGCGCTAGCACCCGAAGCAACATAAGAGCCGAAGGACATGGTGACGGTTGTTGGGCGAGTCAAGAAGAGCTGGGTAAATGCGGTCAGAAGACGGAGATTATACTTTCCGAGAGGAAACGTACTTTGTTCTTTGTTATGTGGGCAACACCCAGCCCACTGTAATACGGAGGAATCAAAGAAGAAAAGAGGAATAGAAGATCAAATGCAAGACTGAGCCATGCATGGCTTGTGGGGAAGGGCAAATCGGAGTAGAAACGTTGAATCGTTTTTCTGCCTTATGCCGACTTACCGCCTGGCAAGTACATATGACGATGTCACCAGGGCACTTGCGGGGACATGTGTATTGTAGAATCAAGTATATTTTAAGGATCTAGCCAATAACGAGAATCACTTTCCTTGAAGAATAATGGAATTATGCATGCACCATCCTCATGATGCATGCCCAGGGGAAAAAATCGTTCAACTAATGTACAGAACACCATCATATGCCAGATGTCTAAACCTGGAAAAGAAAACTCCACAGTGATGCTGTGCAAAGAGGCCCTCAAACGCCGAGTTCATAAGAGAGGGCCCCGTGGGAACCCAATAGAAAGACCTGGGACATCACAGGCCTACGCTATGTCCTCATCCTCCATATCGTCGTCGTCCAACGACTCCATTGCGTCCTTGATGTATTGTGCAGCCTGTGTGGGACCACAGTCAGAAGGAACTTAGGAGGGGGAGGGAGATTTGGAAAAATCAAGACGTACCTTTGGGTCTAAGTTCAAGGCCGCCGTGAAATGCTTGATAGCATTGGCCTTGTCGTGGAGCATTTTGTACAGCTTTCCAAGAAGGTAGTGCACGTTTGCCTCATCCGGCGCCATGTCCTTCAGGATCTTCAATTCTGCCAATGCAAACTTATATTCACGGAGCTTCATTAGTACGCGCGCCTTGCGGAACTTGGCCAATACCGAGTTGGGGGCCAGTGTGGAGGCTCGACCGTAGTGAACCAGGGCGTCCTGGGGATTGTTCATTTTCTCCAATACCAGACCAATGCAGCAAATGAGCACTGCGTTCGTCGGGTTGATACTGGCTGCATTGCGGAAATGCTGCTCAGCGAAGTCAAGCTTGCCCATCTTGTCATACACCGTCCCCAGTCCGTACCAAGCATTGTAATGTCGATTGTCCGCATTAATGCCATGGCGATAGGCCTCCAACGCCTTGTCATATTCTTCGTTAGCGACATATTCATGTCCTTGTAGCGTGAAAGCATATGCAAATTCAGGATCAATCATGGTCGCGCGCTTGAAGCACTTGAGTGCTTGATCGTGATCCCGTTGGTGAGAGAAAGAGTTGCCAATAGCACACCATGCCTGAGGGGATAGGCGATCGGCTTCGAGTAGCTGATGCGCCAAGTAAGCCAGTTCGACATCGCTTTTCAGATGCCATAAGACAGTCGAGTAGATCTCCATATCCTCGGTGCGAGAGGGCGCTAATTTCTGAACCCTGGAGAAATACTTGGCAGCTTCTGTGTAGCTTGCTTGTTCGAAATAGGTTCGTCCAAGTTGAGACAAAACCCAAGGGGTTTCACGCTGACCTTGCGAGAGCGAATTGAAAGAGCTGATGGCGTCCGAGCACCTGTAACGGCTCAAGGAGAAATATCCAGATGCAAGTTTATTGAAAAGTCCCAAAAGCCAATCCAAGGCTTCGAGCTCTTTGGTTTTTTCGGCGTTTTTGGGTAGTGGAGGAATAGCGGGATGAGATTGCGAGAAGCCAGTCCGGTTATCTTTATTATCATTGTCGGGTGTCTCCATGGGTTTTCGATTGCCACTCACGACGCGGCCGACAGTGGGCACACCTGCGCGTCCTTTCGTAGGCCCTCCTCTCAATTTCTTCATTTCGCGGCCATCTCTGCCAGTAAGCGTGCCGTTTGAAAGTTTGCTGGTTGAAGGTTTGATCTGGTTGAAAAGGCGAACGCTCCGGCGCTGGGGAGCACCTGGTTCAATCGGTTGTGACGAAGGAAGGGGGTGGGCGACTTGCCCAGAGACCGTGCGCTTGCGGTCGCCGAATCTCGATACAAGAGAGGGGTCTCTTTCTACCGGAGCAGTCGGCTGAATCTCTGGTTCGGTTCGTATTTTGTGTCGAGGTCTGATGCCTGTTGGACGCATTCGGGGCGGAGGTTGCCCGGTATGGTCAAGACTCATAGTTTGGATTGTCCGCGTCTTTCGAGCAGGGGCCAAGGGTGCTTCCCATCCAGCTTCTGGGTCAGTGACACCATTCGCAATGCGGAAATCGTCAGAGCCACTGCTCTGTGCACCTGGGGTCTCCATTCCGTCGTGGAAGACCGGCTGTGCCACAGCGGGAAAATTGGCAGAGTTCTCATTCAATTTTTCCCAAAGAGCAGAGCTCCCAAATGTGGCGTCAGTCTCGCCACGGGAGGCAGAGACCATAAAAGGATCGGATTCGGGGTTAGCAGGAGGCTGCATGGAGAAGTTTCCTTCTTCGTAAGGTACGTTGTCTGGCGCAGTAGCTATTTCCTCCGGCGATGAAGATATTATGGCAAGAAGTTCTGGGCTGAGCTGGAAGATATTAGGGACACGAATATTGACACCTGATATTGTGTTAGAAAGGTCCACCCGAAGAGAAAAAAAACGTAGGGCATACCTGTTTCGCAAAGACCCAGAAAGGCATCCCACATGAAGGGGTTCAATTTTAGTGCCTCCACGTAGCAGTCAACCGCTTTGGTCAAATCTTTATGCGCGTGCCAAAGTTTCCCTTGCAGAGAATAAACAGCTGCAGCATCAGGCAGGTGCTGTCGCTGAGTTTCACTATGCTTGTCTGTAATATGGTTAGCACTTAAGCTGAAAGTTGGAAAAGTTTCTCGGCGCTTACTCCAGTGATTCTTGGAGACCCAGAGGGGTTTGCTGCGCTCCAGAGCGGTAACACCATCCAAATATTTTCCCAAGTCGAGGCAAGCCTGAGCAAAGACATAGGCACAGCCGGCATGCAGACCGCGCGAGCCCGAAGCCTGGCTGCATTCGAACGCCGCCTTCACTTCTCCGCTGTGTAGATGGCAAAGGGCGAGCAGATATTGGGCTTCAAAGGATCGGGGTTCATAGGCGAGAAGGCGCGCAGCGAGGAAGAGCGCGTTGCGGATTAGGTTATTGTCGAGTTGGTAATAGATGAGATGCCTTAGCTGGCTGGCAACATGCCCGGTGGACAAGGCCATGGTGAGGGGTCGGCGTTATGCGACAGCTCAAGGCAAGGTGGGGATTGTGTAGTGATTATTGGAAGTCGTGATAATAATGCGATTGAGGGAGTCGGTTCGTCGGCGTTACTGTAACATCAATGACTAGCGCCTTTGCAATGTCCTCCAAGACGCGGGGAGGAAACGACGCGATCGAGTGAGTTGTTGCAGCGCGATCGAATGGTCCATAAACAGCCGCAAGACATCGACAGCAGTAAATCCGATGTCTTGATTAAATTTTCTCAGATGCAGGAGCTATCGACTGCTCTCGGTACGCAGGTGAAATGAGGAATGTAAACCCAAACCGGAAATCGTAAGCGGATGAAGGATAGAAAGAAGCGAATAGGTATTCCTCTGGTTACGTCATCTGCGGACGCAGGATCAGTCTCTCAAAGTTCCAGGGACATTTCTAAAGAAACGGAGAACTGCAAGATGTGCTCAAGATGAGATGAACTTCAGTCGTTCTTTCTGTTATTTTGGTCTGAAGCGGCCTTTGTCGTTTCTGCCGTTTCTGTCGGGCGGTGAGGGTAGTGGAGGGCAACAATCACCTAGATGTGCTATAGCTGTCATATGCATGTCCCCTCTCTTCTTCGTCTTTCTCCGTTTAGATTCGAATCCGGTCATTGACTTGTCATTTGAAAGAGGAAAAGCCTACTCAATTCATCTGGGGTATTTTGAATTTGGAAAGAATCATTTTTGGCATCAGATTGCAGATCACTTGGTGACCGCATTCAATCATGGCTCAGGTATGTAGTGAGGGCGCTTTGATGCTACCAAACTTGGGAATAGCTTTGACAATTTTGTGGGAAATTCTCTGACTGTATCACAGAAAGCTGCCAAATCCCTGGCGACCCGCAATGGTGCCGTGCTCAGCCGTACTCACCTCGTCTCTGCCGCATTGCACCTGCTCTTCCTCCTACTGCACTTTGTCTTCCAGCGGCCGCATTCACTGAAGCCATACTTCTTCCTGGCTGTTCCAACCCTTGCCATTGAATACTACTTGGATCGGATGGGCCGGCCCCGCTATAATGAGGATGGTTCTTTGCGCTCCGCCGGTGAGGATCTCAATGCAACTGGCCTGACGGAGTATATGTGGGATGTTCTTTACTGGACCCAGGGATGCATTGTCGCTGCATGCCTATTCAACGACCGAGCCTGGTGGTTGTGGGCTGTGATCCCAGTGTACTCTGTGTACGCTGCATACACCACGATAATGGGCGTGAAGAAGGGCTTTTCTGGAATGGGTGGTGGCGACGCCGGTCAACAGGGAGATGTCCCAAAGAGCAAGACGCAGTTGAAGAAGGAAAAGAGAGGCTCCACTATGAAGTATAGGTGATCTTGTTGGAGTCTGGAGGATATGTACAAAATGAGCTGGTATAGAATGGGAGCTCCAAAGTCATTGCCATCTTTACTAGTTGCCATCTAAAGCGCCCTTTTTGCTATATATCTTTATCTACTGGAGCAGGAAATTTTCTACTGCCCTTAAAGCTAAGTTTGGTACGATGCACACCGTGGGTGATAGCTACAGATATCTGGCAGCGCAAATTATGAAATACATACAATTCTCGAAAAATCGATTCATTATGTACCGAACACATATATATATATATATATATCACTTCAAACAAGCCTCGTATTTCAACCAGGAAGTGACTGGGGAGGAACGCAAAATGACGAGAGAGAAGCCGAAAAAAAGCAAGACTGAATGTTGCAGATCATGAGCATATGGCCGTCGTGACAAACTCTATGGGGAACAATGTGTCGTGGGCCGCGCATGGAATTCCCAAGGCACAGTTTTCGTTCGGAACAAAATGATTGAGTCCGAGTCAAGAGAAAAAGGAAAAAAAAACGATGGCACATGCTGGATTAAAATCGATCAGAGTTCATCTTTGGCTGCAGCACTCTTAATGCTGCTTGTTGTATCTTCAACGTAGGATGTGGCGGTCTCGACTGCTTCGGACGCAACGCTGCCATAGCTGGCGGCTAGATGAGCCAGCTGAGAATTGGCGCTTTCAAGGGCTCCAATGAGACGGGTACCTGCACTCTCCATTGCGTTGGGTTCCTCGCCGTAGACAGCGGTGCTGGCTTTGGATTGGATATTCTCAATGGCATCATTGGCGCTATCGATGTAACTAGATTCCTTGCCGTAAACAGCACTACTGATCTGAGCGGAAGCCGTTGAGTAGGCATCGGCTGCGGCTTCGGTGGCTTTTTCGTAGGAACCCTTGGGGGTTTCGTAGATACCAGCGCTAGCAGCTTGGACAGCAGCATGGAGTTGGTCTTCCGCGCGTTGAATGATGTCCTCTACATTCGGGGCTTCTGAAACGATAGAAGCAGCAGCGGAGGACGCAGATCCGTAAGCTTGGTTGATGTAGCTAGAGGCAGAGGAGACAGCTGCAGCTGGGTACGGCGTCTCGTATGCGGCGTGCAGCTTGCTCAGCACGCTCTCGGTAAATGAAGGTTGCTTGCCCACAATCAGTTCAGATACGAGTTCTTGGATTGCCTCAAACTGCGGACGTCCGTTGTTCACTACGTGTTGCAGATACGGCGTTGGTGCACCGTAGATCTGCTCGCTGGCTTTCGAGATGAGATTTTCCCAGTTTTCGGATACTTGACTGGGAAGAGACTCTACAGGGCCGGTGGAAGTTCCATAGATAGCTGAGCTGGCCGAAATGGAAGCCACAGATAGAGAGGAAGAAGCCACAGAGAGGGCAGCATTGTATCTGGACGAAGCATCATCAATAACACTTTGTACTTTGCCGCCATCCCCAGAAGAGATGACTGAACTTGCCGATGCGACGACAGCGGCAAGACTGGCAGAAGCCAACGAGGAAGCGTGCTCGTATTGAGACCCAGCTTCCTCAACGATTCCCTTGAAGGTTCCGACCGGTGTGGGGGTTGGAGAACCATAGACCGCTCCAGATGCTGTAGAGACAAAAGCAGAGTAGTGGTCGTGGGCCAGCCCAACTGCCTCGTAGTAGCGACGCTGCGCATCAAGGACGAATGGCTGGAGGCCTCCCTGAGGAAGACTGTCTGTTGTCGCTGGTGGCTGCACTTGAGCTAGTTGTTCGGATGCTAAACTCAGTCCCTGATTTAGTCGGGAAGACGCGATGGATGAAATTTGACCCAGAGGACCAGCGTTGGATGGCGTCGGGGTAGCACGAACAGCGCAGAGCTTCGACTCCAGCTCATCTGTGGCATATTTTAAAGACCCAGAATAGGCCGACTCTATGGAAGCTAGGAGCTGGGCATGAGCAGGAGCGCTAGATTCAGCCATTTGGCCAAGAACTTGAGACTTCGCGATCTCATAGAGTACTTTAGCTTGATCCGTGGAATCAGCAAGTGCTGAGCTGGCTCCACCCATCAAAGATTGGACAATCGGTGTTGGGGTGCCATAGATGACCGACGACGCACTATGGTAGAAATTCGCATTAGCGAGAATTCGATTTGTATGCAATTCAATACACGCTGGATATGCTATACTACTTACGCGGCTACAGCCTCGCTATATTTTTCAGAGGCGACACTAGAAACCTGCTCTCCCGGGCTCAGAGGAGTGCCATGGATAACGGTAGAGGCGGCGGACCAGGCAAGAGAGTACCGTTCACTGGCCACTGATGCTGCCTTCTCACCGACTCCAGGGGTTGTCGATGCAGCGTAGATAGCTTCACTGACAGCATTGCTCACATCGGCGTAAGTATCGCTGGCCTTGCTGGCCAGACTGTCCAGGACATCGTGGCTCTCGTCATCTATGATAGGTGCTTGATGCGAATTTGCATCGGCAGCCGCAACACCAAAGGTGGATCTTGCGGAGGGCTGCTCTTCCACCACGATATCATCATTCATAACAGACTCATCAGCGTCATCAAAATCCGCTTCAGTATCGACAGCTGGGGAAGGTGCCTCGGTCGAGTGAGTTTCCTCGTAAGCGTCATCGGATGTTGGTGCTGCCACCTTATCAGAATACTCATCGTGGTCGAAATCCACCTTGGCGGCCTCTTGGTCAGGTTCCTCAATCTCCTGGGGCTTTGGTCTCGCCGGCGGGGCTTCAGTGCGAGTTTCGAAATTATCGCTTACATCACGAGCGGCAATCTTCCAGATTCCAACATCCTTCAACCGGACAAGTTCTCTGGCAGCTTGTTCGGCTTCATGCATTCCCTGGTCCATGATGTCACTTGCCACGGCTCTAGCGTCTGATACGGATTTGTGGTTCATGCCGATATTTCGGATCTCGTTGCCCCATTCTTCGAGTTGGGCTTTGAGGGCATGGTACTTCGCCCAATCCTTGTATGTGACACCATCCATCCACGCCCAGCGCATGCCAATCTCCTGTAGACCGAGATCACGAATGCTGTCAAGGACATTCAGTGTCGAATTGAGAGCAGCAGTGACTCGGCGAACAAGTTCGTCCTCAAACGAGATAGACCACTCTCGGAGTGCATGGGCACGGTCTCTCACAGAGATTGCAGAAGTTCGAATATCCCGAACCAGCAAGTCGCTAGTAGACTTCTCGATCTCTGGGGCGTCCTCCTCTGGCATTGAATCCGCAAGTTCATTGATCCGTTGCTTTATCGAGGAAATCTGCTCAGCGGAAACCGACTGAAGCGCGGTAGAAAGGCTCTGGCCGTGGCCGTTCGCGCTGCTTGAAATCAGGGCGGACACGATTTCCCGAATACGTTCCTCAAGGTCTTCAATGCCTTTGTCAGCTGCGAGAGCGAACTTTCCCTGCCACCGTTCAAGGTCCGAATCTATCTTCTCACGGGCTTGCTGCGCTTGCTCGGTAGGAGTCAGAGTGGGTTGGGCAGGAGGCGGGGGCACAGAGGTTGAAGTAACAGTGGTCTCAGTGTGAATTTGTTCTTGTGACTTGGTGGCCGAGGAGGTAACGGGTTGCACGGTTGAGCTGCTAATGACCATGGTTAGCAAGCCATAGACTGGAGAGACCGAGGGGCTATAAATACCTATCCACGTCCTCTATGACAGCGCGAAGTCGCTTGCCCTCCCTGTAGCTTGCCAACCGCTGGCCAATCTTGACCAGCTGGGGTTCCACTTGCTCAGAGTAAAGACCAGTAACGTGAGGCCATAGTGAGCTGTTAGCATAGTAGACCGCGGATGACCAGGTATACTGCGCCCGGGGCATGATGTGGGTTGTCAAAATATCCCGGCCCGTGGAGTAAGCTTTCCCGATGAAAGGCTTGGAACGGGCGTAGAAAGGTACCAGGTGGCCCTGGTAAACAGTGAGCACAACATCGTTGGCCCTCTGGTAATATGGAGAGACAACAGCAACGCATTTCTGGACATAGGGATCGACCTCGGCCAAATAAAGCCGGTGCACCTTATTTTGAGCAGAATGTAGCCTTGGAGTGACTTGATGTTGCCATTGCTCAACTCCATATGCCTGAGCTTGCTTCAATGCCGGCGCCCCATATTTTTCATATCCTGATTTTGCAACCTTCGATGCCGGGGTATAAACTCGCTGATTAAACACCTCTCCGTATGGTCGGGCCTGGTCAACGTAAGGCGCCGCATAAATATCATAATATGGGGTCACATAAGGTTCCACATGCGAACGAGCAATCAGGTAAGGCTTGCAGACTCGAGGCGATGTTTCCGTGAGGTCTTCGAGGTGGGATGGGCATCGGAGGAATGGCGACACGAGTGCGTACCAGATACATAGCCTGAGAAGTGAAGAGGTTAAAAAAGGATTCTAACTCTGTATGCGCATGACGATACCATCACTCACCTCACGACAAGTCCGATTGTCCACCGTACGAAGCCCTTCTTCCGTGGCTTTTCAAGATCCGTTCCGCCATTTGTTTTGGTCGTGACATCTGTCACTTGGCCATTCTCTTTCACCACCATAGCAACTGAGGCTGACCCTGACGAGGTCACGCGATTTCCTTGTGAGAGTCGAGGTCGCCGTAATCCGTGGAGGGCTTCTCTTCCACACACTTAGATCGAGTCGGCTCAATAGAAGATTATCGCTGCATCGGAGAGAATCCCACAGTCCGGTTGAATATGTGACCTTCTGATATTTGAGCTCGAGACTGAATGAATCCAAGCAAATTAGCTGCTGTAGGCGAAATGCTCGCGTCGGTCTTGGCGCTGGCAACCTTTCACGGGCCGCGGTAAGATACCTTGAGTAGGCTGGGTCAATTTCAAAAGATTGATGGTTTTAAGAAAGCAAGGGTCGAACACATCAGCTTTAAGTCTGATGAGAGAGTTCAGTTTTATTACACTAAGGGGACAAGGGATCTGATCGCATATGACACAATAATCAAGGATTTGTTTTCTAAATCAGTGAGGTCATCGGTGGCTACCCGTACTGCAGATACCACAATACCCCGCTATCACCGCATTAATCAGCAGGTAATACCGTATTTAATGTACTGCCAGCACACACCGCTGAGACAGCGAATTGGATGGCTGAGCACCTGGGCTGAATTACTTTGTTACAAGCACCAATGATCTACAGATTACGCTGAGGTACGATACTCCTAAAAGCAGTGTAAATTTTGTCACTAAATCTTCCTCTAGCTCATCTCGGATCCACCAACACAACCCTTCCGCATGTTCATATCTTTTACCATTCCTGCTCGACTAGGAACATGGTGAACATCTAATCAACCACCGTCAACTCGGCGAGATTCACGAAAATATGGAGCCCGCGGTCTACCAATTCCGCGATAATGCGGATCACACCGCGTTCCCCGATCTAATGAACGATCCGGCTTATGACGAAAGGGAAAAGGGATTTGACGACCTGGATACCTGTCGGATATGTCATGGCGAGGCAACGGAAGAGGAATCGTTGTTTTACCCTTGCAAGTGCAGCGGTAGTATTAAATTCGTCCACCAAACATGTCTGGTTGAATGGTTGTCACATTCCCAGAAGAAACACTGCGAGCTCTGCAAAACGCCATTCCGATTTACAAAACTATATGACCCGAACATGCCCCAGAGCCTTCCTGTACCTCTGTTTGCGAAGCAAGCCTTGATCCAATGCTTCCAGAATTTGGTGACATGGCTGAGATTTGTTCTTGTTGCATTTGTCTGGTTGGGATGGCTGCCGTGGTCGATGCGGGCAATATGGAGGGCACTGTTTTGGCTTGCCGATGGCCGATGGTCTGCGAATGAAAACATTCGAAACCAAGCCGCAAAAACCACCCCAGATGGCCTAAGCCAACTGTTCTCCAATGGAAGTGTTTCTGTGGTAGCTGACTCGATTACTTCGACCATTTCTAATGCCGCTATCTCATCTACTACTGCTGTACCATCTACACGGTCGTCCGTTCTCAATTTCGCAGCTGGCGAGCCACTCATGCTCACACTCATCAAAAAGATGATCCCTACTCTCTTCATGTCCGCATTCACCTCTACTGTCGGACAAGACAACGCACAGAACAATGTCACGGCTAGCTCGACCAAACCTCGGTATCCATCATGGCTTTCGGATGTGAAGTTCCTGAACTCGTTGACACCGTATCCAACAATCAACAACATGATCATGGACACATTGGAGGGACAGCTCATCACCCTCCTTGTAGTCGTTGCATTTATTCTACTCTTCCTGATTCGAGAATGGGTTGTTCAACAGCAACCCATGGTAAATATCGCAGAAGGAGAGCGTGAGGCTGCTCTCCAGTTAATCGCAAATGCCAATAACCGGGTAAATGATCGATTCAATGAAGGTGGTCCTGCACAACCAGAAGCCATCCCAGCTCAACCAGAAAATGAGGTCAACGATGAACGCGCTGAAGCCCATGAGTTGGACAATGACATCCTTCCTCATTTTGCCCCTCACTCCCCAGCTCCGTCCTCGAATGGTTTCGAGTACGATCTCCCTGGATTTGAAGCGGAATTACGAGAATACAACGAGAACGACCCGGAAAACGAAACAGGCGGCCATATTCCTACGGCTCGCGCTCTGGCTTTCCGAGACCTAGTGGCCCGGACTCATGGTAATCATGAAGAAATGCTGCGCATTCTCCGTGAAGAGGCTCACGGGGATGATCTGGACTGGATTGTAAACGCAATCACCGGCACCACCGTAAACCTGGATCCAGCAGCAGGGCCTTCTACTCGCCCCCACGATCCCGAAGATCCAGAACTCTCAGACGGTGCCGATGTCGATTTTGAAGATGGACATGTCGATAATCATCCGCCTAATACGGACGCCGGACCTTCTACCCAGAACGCGGATCATGGTCCATCGACTAGAGACAATGACATGCCTATCATTAATGTACAGGTGGATGATCGGCCTGCACAGGGCATCGCTGAACGGGTATTTGAATGGTTCTGGGGAGACATCACACCCGTAGAGGGCAATAGACAAGAACCAGTTCACGAAGACGAGGAGCGTGTTGTTCAAGATCCAGTCCTGGAAGAGCCATTCGTGCCCTTGCCAAATCGAATGGAACAAGTTCAAGCAAATGCTGCCGCTGCCGCTGCCGCTGCAAATGCTGGGCTGGACCCTAACGATATGGATGCAATCGAAGGGGACGATTTCGAAGGGATCATGGACCTCATTGGCATGCATGGTCCCATTTTCGGCCTTTTCCAGAACGGCGTCTTCTGTGCCCTTCTGATTGCATTCACGGTAGCCATCGGTATCTGGCTCCCGTACCTGTGGGGTAAAATTGCCCTTGTGTTGTTGGCCAACCCTCTCGAACTCGTCATTGGTGTCCCTATCACCGCGGTTGAAGTCGTTGCAGATATCGCTCTTGATACTCTTATTGGTGTTGTGGGATATCTCATGTATTGGTTCACCTTTGTTTTCAAGATTGTACTGAGCCCTTTCAGTGCTCTTTTGCCGACTGGAGGATGGATTCCCCGGGACAACTCAGTTACCAGTGCATCGCTTTCCCTTATCGATGCAAGCAGTCATCGCTTGAACAAAGTGATCAAAGCGTTCCTGGTTTTCCATGAGTCCGATATTCCTATGTTCTCAGTGCTCTCGCACCAGGCACTTAAATTGCACCAGGCTCGCCTTGGTGCTGTGTTTGAATCGGTCTTTGCCACTGTTAAGTTCATCCTGCATGACTTCCCACTTCGGCTTGTGACCCTCGGTGTTCCCGGTGCCCTGTCTTTGGACCTTGACCTCTCCCATTTAAAGAACTTTCTTGGTCAAGCTCAACAACAATTCACCACATTCGCTAAATCATCGCTTTTCTCAATGCCTGGAACAAGGTTGATGAACGCAAGTGCAGCAAAAGCAGCCTCTGCCACAGTGCCGGTCGATTATGACCTGGCGGTCTGGGATTCCAAGGATCGTGTCATCGCTATCTTCATGGGCTATTTGCTTGCTTTCATGACAGGGCTTCTTTATCTACGGATTACAGGGCTGCTCTCTGGTGCCAATCGAGGACAAAGAATCGAGGGTCTGCTTGCCGAGGTCTTGATACAAGCCGGAGGAGTTATGAAGGTCATTCTCATCATCGGAATTGAGATGATTGTCTTTCCTTTGTATTGTGGCAGTCTTCTTGATCTTGCTTTGCTTCCGCTCTTCTCCAACGCTACGGTGGCCTCTCGTATCGCTTTTACTGCTGCATCCCCGCTTACCTCACTTTTCGTGCATTGGTTTGTTGGCACTTGCTACATGTTCCATTTTGCGCTATTTGTTTCCATGTGCAGAAAGATATTGAGAAGTGGTGTGCTTTGTAAGTGCTGTTATTCATTTGTCCGACCTTGATCGTCTTGCTAACTGTTTGACTCTTTAGACTTCATTCGTGACCCCGATGATCCAACCTTCCATCCAATACGTGATGTCCTCGAACGCAGCATCACTACACAGCTTCGTAAGATCGGGTTCAGTGCCCTTGTATACGGTGCGCTAGTGATCGTTTGTCTAGGAGGTGTCGTCTGGGGCTTGCACTTTGCCCTCGATGGTGTTCTCCCGATTCACTGGTCTGCCAGTGCCCCGATGCTCGAGTTTCCGGTTGATCTACTATTCTACAACTTCGTGCTGCCTGTAGTCATTCAATCATTCAAACCTTCAGAAGGGTTGCATGATTTGTATGACTGGTGGTTCCACAAGTGTGCTCATTTCTTACGTCTCAGCAACTTTTTCTTCCCCGAAAGACACCTTGAGGAGGAAGGCTACCATGTCCGGAAGACCTGGTGGGGTATTCTCTCTAGAAGCGAGGGTGACTGGGAACACCCAGTAGTTGGAGATGATCAGCAGGCTGCAGCCGAGCGCGAAAATCGTGACGTCTACTTCCTGCGCGATGGTCGATACGTGCGTGCTCCTGGCTCTGATCAGGTCCGCATCCCAAAAGGCAACCACGTTTTCCTTGAGGTCACCGAGGACAATGAACGTGTTGATGGGAAGCCTGATCCCGCCGATGGGCTACATGGCCGATCTAGCAACATGTTCACCAAAGTCTACATCCCTCCCTCTTTCCGAACTCGGATTGCTGCCTTTATTCTTCTAATCTGGCTGTTTGCTGCCACCACCGGGGTAGGCATCACCATTATTCCCTTGATCATTGGTCGGAAGATCATCGGCTCCTACTCCTCCACTCTGGCTCCGGTGAACGACGTCTACGCCTTTTCAAGTGGTCTTTGTGTGGTCGGTGCGCTTGCCTATTTGGCGTACTACTCTAGTACCGCACTTGAATTCCTGCAAGAGCATTTAGGCACATACCTTCGCTCTCCCCGCCAAGCAGCCCAGACCAGTCTGGGCCTCGTGATACATGCTGCTCGGCTTCTCTACGTTGTCCTAGTTGCCATTATCATTCTACCGTCACTCTTCGCGCTACTCACTGAACTATACATTCTCATTCCAGCGCACACCCTCTTTGGTGATGGAGAGTCGCATGTTGTTCATGTCGTTCAGGACTGGGCGCTCGGGGTGTTGT